TCTCTTTCATATTTTAACATTTTATAATTCCATCTAATTCTTTTCCATTATTCTTACTTCTATTTCTATTCTTTTCATTCTTTGGAGGTATTTGTAATAGTTTATTTGATCATTTGTTTTTATTTTAATATGATATATATCATATTTTTTAATATGTAATATTCTTTTTAATTTCATATATTGATTATTATGGAGCAAGTCTCTTAATCTACATATTTTTGATTGTAATATTCTTTCTATACTTCTCCTTCCACTTCTTTCTTGATTGTTATTAATAATTATGTTAATAGTTGATGTTATAGTTTTAATATAATGGTAGTAATCATCTAATGTATTGATTACTATTTCATTTGTATTAATGATATTAATTATTTGATGTACTTTGTTTTTATTGTAATAATAATTAATAAATTATACATCTTCTTGTTATTTCATTTATTCTTCTTTATTTATTCTTATTATTTCTTGTATTTATTATTTCTTATTTATTTTATTAATTCTTTTAATTCAATATCTTTCCATTGGTGTGTTATTATTTCTTCTTTATTTCTTCTATTGACTTCAATTTTATTTTCATTCTTTATTTTATATGTTTTCTTTATTATTTCTTTATATTCATTTATATCTTCTATTTTAATATCAATTTCATGTATTAATCTTTTTATTTCTTCTTCTTTAAGTTGACCTCTTAATTTTCTTTCTAATAACTTCAGTGCAAAACATTTATAGAGTGTTAGAATTTATTCTTCTCTATTTGTTTACTTCAATTGTTTTTTTTTTGAATGTCATGATCAGATGTGGTGATCTTCTTATGCTGATTTCCCATCTCTTCAATTGAATTCTGTATTAACTTTCTTTTTTTTTGGAAGATCATCTTCGCTTGATGATATTTCATCAGCTACTACAACATTGGGGTTGAGGTCATTCACAATTTGTGTTTCAGATGAGTCAGATATAGTGTGATTTATCTCATCTTTCTTCTTTTCTTCTTGTGTAATTTTATTTTGTAATTTAAATAATTTATCTTTCAAGAAGTATACTTGTTGTGATAAATTGCTTACCTCAGACATTTTCCTTTCTGATTCAGCATGGAATTCAAATAATTTTCTATCACTTTCTTGTTTTTAGTGTTTATCTCCTTCTCATGCTTCTTCTTTAATGACATAATGTCATTTGATAATTTATTAATGGTCTGGTCATTCTTTTGTATTTCTTCTTTTCTTCTTTCTCTTTAATAGCCTCCTCTATTCTTTTCTTTAATTCTTCTATTCTTTTATCTTTTTCATTGTTCTTTTCTTCCTCTTCTTTTAATTTCATCTTTTCTTTTTCATTAAACATCTTCTTCTCTTCATTGTCCCTCTTTTCCTCAGCAAGCCTCTCCTTTCTCTCTTTTATTAGCCTCTCTTCCTCAGCAAGTCCCTTCTTCTTCTCCTCAGCAAGCCTCTTCTCCTCTTCTACTAGCCTCTTCTTCTCCTCAGCAAGCCTCTTCTCCTCTTCTACTAGCCTCTTCTTATCTTCAGCAAATTCATTTTTATTATCATTTTCATCATTGTATATTTCTTATTTAAATATTTATCATTTATTTCATTTTGATTTAGTTGTTTATCATCTTCTTCAAGTGTCATACTGATCGTTTCTTCTTCCATTCTATTCATTTTTGTTTTTTCTCTTGCAAGTAAGTACCATTTTCTCATTATTGTTGATTATATTCTTTGATCTTAGTGTTCTTAATTTATTCTATTTCTTGTGGTGTAAGTATTTTAATTTCTTCTTCAAATAATCTTTTCAATTATTCTTGGTTTGTATTTCTATCATTTCTTTTATTTCTTATTTGTTGTTGTCTTTTATTATGGTATTGTTTATATATATGATGTGTTTTATTATGTGATTTATTTGTATTATAATATTGATTGCTTCTATTTGAATTATTGATAAAATATTTATGATGATGAAAATGAATGAAGTGATGAATGAAATTATTCATATCATTATTATTATAATTATTATGATAATTGTTATGGTGATAGTTATTATTATGGTAATGATTAATGTGATGATTAATGTATTTCTGTCCATGCAGATAATACGTGTTTTCACTCATTCTTCTATCATTTATATTTCTTGGTTGGTATGGATTTCTCCTTCTTTTGTTTTGATTTTTTTATATTTGGGTGAAAATATCATAAAAAAAAAAGAATGAGATAAAATAAGATAAAAAGAAATACTAAAAATAATAAGAAGAAACAACAAAAGAAAGGAAAATAATAATATAAGAAAATAAAAAAGTAGAAAAAAAAAAGAAAAAAGAGAAAAAAAAAATAAAAAAAATAAAAATCACAAAATTAAAGGAAAAAAAAAAAGTAAAAAAAAAAATAATTCAAAGAAAAAAAAAGAAAATAACGAAAAAATAAAAAAAAAAATAAAATAAAAATAAAAAATAAATAAATAACAAACAAATACAACAATCTCCAAATCAATAAAAAAACCGTACCACTTCAATTTCACAACCTGCACATCACAACAAACAACAAAAAGTGTCAAACGGACAACTTTGGCTTCAACGACAACAACATAACATTTTTACTTATTATTTCTACTTTATCATATCTACTTTAACATTTCTGCTTATCATATCTACTTTAACATTTCTGCTTAACTTCTGCTTAACTTATGCTTACTGAAAGCTTCCGTGGCTCAGTCGGCAGAGCGAACGGCTGTTAACCGTTAGGTCCTTGGTTCGATCCCAAGCGGAAGCGTCTTTTTTACTATTATTATTAACCTTTATGCTACTATTATTATTATTATCATCTTATTCACTTATTATTATATTATTATATTATATTATTATGTTCTTTTTTTATTCCCTTATTCTTTCTCTTTAGTAGATATATTCTTATATTTCTATTTCTATTTATTATACTTATACATGTATATATGTATATATGTATATATGTATATATCTTTTTATACTTCCTTAGTATTTTACTTAGTATTTTACTTAGTATTTTACTTAGTATTTTACTTAGTATTTTACTTCCTATATCCTTATTAGATGTACCTACTTTATACTATTACCTATATGCTATTCTTATCCCTTTATACTATACTATTCTATTCCTCTTATACTATTCTTATCCCTTTATACCTTTATATTCTTATACTTTTATACTTTTATACTTTTATACCTATAACCATTTATACCTTTATACCTTTATACCTTTATACCTTTATACTTTATACTATTTCCTCTTATACCACCTATTCTTATTATAAAAATACGCCCCCCGTGGGGCTCGAACCCACGACCGCGCGGTTAAGAGCCGCGCGCTCTACCGACTGAGCTAGGAAGGCTCACAGATTATTAGTATTCTTGACTTCTAGACTATGACTATATTTATATATATTTTTATATTTATTTAAATTTTATTTTATTATTTATGTTTATTTTATATATGTAATGACTTATTATATTTATTCCTTTTTATTTCTATATTTCTTTATATATTATATATTACTTATTACTTATTACTTATTACTTATTTTATACCTATTATATATAGACTATCTTTACTATACCTTATTCTTATTTTTTACTTTTTACTTTTTACTTTTTATTTCTTCTATGTATATATATATATTATATATGTACTTATGTACTTCTTATTCTTTTATGTATATATGTACTTATGTATATATTTATATATTTATATATGTATATATTTATATATGTATATATGTATATATGTACCCTCTTATTATGTTTATCCTATTATTACCCTTCTTATTACTCCTTATAACTTTATCCTATTATTACCTATTCAACTTATGCTTATCATATTTACTTTATCATATCTACTTTATTATTTCTACTTTATCATTTCTGCTTATCATATCTACTTTATCATTTCTGCTTATCATATCTACTTTAACATTTCTGCTTAACTTCTGCTTAACTTATGCTTACTGAAAGCTTCCGTGGCTCAGTCGGCAGAGCGAACGGCTGTTAACCGTTAGGTCCTTGGTTCGATCCCAAGCGGAAGCGTCTTTTTTACTATTATTATTAACCTTTATGCTACTATTATTATTATTATCATCTTATTCACTTATTATTATATTATTATATTATATTATTATGTTCTTTTTTTATTCCCTTATTCCCTTATTCTTTCTCTTTAGTAGATATATTCTTATATTTCTATTTCTATTTATTATACTTATACATGTATATATGTATATATCTTTTTATACTTCCTTAGTATTTTACTTAGTATTTTACTTCCTATATCCTTATTAGATGTACCTACTTTATACTATTACCTATATGCTATTCTTATCCCTTTATACTATACTATTCTATTCCTCTTATACTATTCTTATCCCTTTATACCTTTATATTCTTATACTTTTATACTTTTATACTTTTATACCTATAACCATTTATACCTTTATACCTTTATACCTTTATACCTTTATACTTTATACTATTTCCTCTTATACCACCTATTCTTATTATAAAAATACGCCCCCCGTGGGGCTCGAACCCACGACCGCGCGGTTAAGAGCCGCGCGCTCTACCGACTGAGCTAGGAAGGCTCACAGATTATTAGTATTCTTGACTTCTAGACTATGACTATATTTATATATATTTTTATATTTATTTAAATTTTATTTTATTATTTATGTTTATTTTATATATGTAATGACTTATTATATTTATTCCTTTTTATTTCTATATTTCTTTATATATTATATATTACTTATTACTTATTACTTATTACTTATTTTATACCTATTATATATAGACTATC